TTAATGAATGCTATTATAGAATACCTATCATTGAACTGGGCGGAAGTGGTGTAGTGACAAGTGGCGCGCTCACCACGCGAGCGGTCCGGGATCAAATCCTGGGTCGTGAGTCGCCCGGGCCAACCAAGCCTTCCATCCCTCCGGGGTCGGTTAATTGGTACCAGACTTGTCTGGGAGGATAAAAACACTGACTTGAACATCGGCTGGCCCCCGCAAGTCATTGTATAGGCCACATCGCATTCAAACGCCACTACGAATGTACAAATGGAAGTAGAATGCGTGCCGCATCCCAAAAAGGGATTGATCAACGGCAAAATCTTTATGGGAATCTCAAAGTGCCACCCACCACTGGGTGCCATTATCTGCCCGAGGGTTAAAGTGCAGCATCTCGGAAAGCGAATCTAATCCTGGATACGGTGGCCAAACAAGAAAACAAAAACACTACAGTGAAAAGAGAAGCCGCATGAGAGCGTTCTCAATCTATCGAGGTAATTCCTATGTATTCTCAAGAGTATGAGAAGGCCTCTCAAGAAGATGTCCGCTTAGCGCAGAAAATCCCGATTTTTTATAACCTGTGTGGGGCCGACCTCACCGTTTCCACTACGACACCGCGGTGAATGGATTGCATGGAATATATCGCTGCTTTGTCAGTGCAAGCATTGGGTAGGAATGCGAACTTGCTTTCTGTTTACCTTGTTTACCAATCTTTCAATATAATAAATAATTTTCAAGTTACAATTTTGTTTTCCGACTTTCTTTTTTTGTATGGATTTCACCCTCATTTCATCTTGTTACCGCAACTTGTACTATATTTGTGCCCTGGAAGATTCTTATGGAACCTAAGAGGCACAAATGACGTAAGAGAAAGTTCTCCCTCCGCAGCTCACGTAGGGGAAGAACTAAATCGTGGTTGGTAGTATCCATAAACCGCCTAAGGCAGTGAGTATCAGGGACAACCGATGTTAGGCTCATCCAAGATTTGCACCTGTCGTGAGACCAGTGTGCTTGCGCCTATATTCTGGTAGCCTATCTAGAGCAGTTTACATTTTCTACCCTAGCGAGCTTGTACCAATCAAATGACTCCGGAAGACCTTTATGGACGCATTCAGTACCACGTTTACAACAGATCTAATCGGTGAGAAGGCAGTACGAGCAGAGAATCTTTGCCAAATCGCGTCAGTGGCAAAAAAGAACCTATCGTAATCAATACGTCAAATAACCCCTGTGCGCTAGAAACGAATCTCATTTTCGTTATCACGGAATGGAATACTTCTATGGAAGAAATTCCCGAGAAAATAAAATATTTCAAGCGCCCGTATAGTTTATGGTGCCGGGATTTAGATTCTATAACTTACATAAACGCTCAGGAATATTGCTAAATAGTTCTGGAAATACTCTTGAACTATCGTAAAAACAAACGAGAAAACGTGGGAAGAGAATTGATTTCTCAGAATTCAGTATGTGACAAAACTGCAGACAGCTGACTGAAAATCTAATAATAAATTTCTGAAAATGGGTCAAAAAACGTTGAATAATGGCACGGCACGAAATTCTTTAGTTTCCACCATTCTATGCAGGATTTTCTTGTATATCTTTTGATATTCCTACTCGTCCCCGCGGCAACGCCATCTTGCTTGAAGATAATGCCAAGCCACACACTACGGAGAGAATGAAGAAGAAGCTGACTGCTCTTGGTTGGGATTTGTTGGGTCCTTATTCGTCCTTCGTATTCGCCAGACTTGTCCCCGTCTGACTTCCATCTCCTCCGATCACTCGAGCACTGGTTGACAACGGTTGAGAGGGTCAACCGTCCGCTCGCACTATTCGAACGAAGTGGTCGCACTTTGGGGTTCAGTCAGGTTATAATAGTGGGAACGGAAGTCAACGGAGGTCGTTAAAGGGGGTTGTGTTTGGACGGGTTCTTTTTGACGAATTAGGAGACAGTTTCACAAAATATGTACGAAAAAAGTGAAAATTAGGCAAAATTGGTGTGTTTGCCGCTTCATGATACCCCAATCTACACCCCCTTCCCCGGTTGCGCTGCGTCGAGTGGTCTCAGAATCGAGTGCTATAGAAACAGCCATGATGGTAGAGCGTGGTGGTCGGAGAAGGAGAAGGGGGATCGTAATGAGGGAGCCTTCCTAGGCTGATGGTGGTGGTGGAGATCGGATTCAAACCCCCTTAAAGAGGGGCGAGGTCGGCAAATTTTTGAAAAAATGCGAATGTGGCGGTTGACCCTGCTGGTTGAATAAATAGGTGTCCCGAGAAATTGAGCATTTGCGTAGAGAATCGATAGCTTTCTTGTGTTCTGAAGATGTGGAAATTACCGGGGAGGGATTGATTTGTTGCCGGAAAAGTGCAAATTGTTCGATTCCGATGGAACATACTTTGATTGAGGTTGTTATGAAGTTTTTGATTTCTTCCACTCAATGAATTTTGCATTTTTTTGACCAGTCCCAAAAAGATCTAATACAATCTCACACGGCAGGAGGACGACTACGTGAATGATATGGCGAGTGGTAGCGATATTATAGGAATCACGAGACAAGTTTGAATGAGAAAGGAGCTGGAAGAGATTATTACTCCTACTTGCAAAGGTTGTATCAAAAATACTCGAAGTGAAAGCATAATAATAAAGCCAAATGAACAGTGGAAATCCAGTTAAGTTTGCTTTCGGATAGCAGTCGAATTAAACGTGAGCCAATTTACAACACAGATAAAGGCGCGGGTGAACTTGAGCATTTGTCAGCGCTTGAAAATGACCAATCAATTGCTTGCAATGAAGAGGGTTCAGAAAAAAGTATTCCTCTTAGCAGCTTCTTCCTCATTTTAAACGAGAACTGGGTGACGAACCCGGCCGTTGGAAGTGCAAGTGGAGGATGTGATTGAAGAAGTTCAACTGGAGGGGAGGAAGTTACAGAGCCCGATGGCGAAGTGTGAGAGAATTGTACCTTTGTATATTTTACCTTGGTGAGACCTGGATAAAACACAGTGAGCCAGTTTCAATAGGGTAACACGACCCCTCCCCCATCAGGTGAAAATCCTCAATTCACTTTCCTAATTCAGCTCCTTCCTGTCTCTGACGGAATATGAAAAGACTCGTGAAGGTTGATCAAAACAAGAATTTCCGTGAATATTAGAGAAACCCTTGCTCAAAAAATTCCAAAAAATTCTTCTAAAAGAAAGTCCCCTTTAAACTGGCCACGTGTTCGGGAGGATATTTCGCGCCCGAAGAGTCTACCCTTCCAAAACTATGTGTAGCTTCACTCAGATGATGTTGCGGCAACAATATATTCTTCAGTGATTTGAAGGTGTAAGCGCACAATGTGACAAGCAGTATCGTTTGGACAATTTGGCAGGAATAACAAAGCCGAACGTCGCGAAGGCTAATTTTTTTACACAGAGCAAGCTATTCAAGCTCGAATAGCGATGCTTATATGTTTCAAGAGTCGAGCGCAACGATGAGAAAAGTTGCTGATAGTGCTTTGACCTAACCATAGGTTCGAACGACTTCCTTGGTCCCTGGGAAATTTCGTATAACTTCGTAAAGTTTTGTTGAAAAAAGAAAAACACGTTGAGACAGGCCTACGAGCATCTGCCGCGTCAGAAATTTGGCACCGCAGCATTGATCATTCGCAGGGGAGTACGCCGTCATATGGCGGGGCGTCTGTTGGCATTGAGCGCCACCAGGCCGTAATCCTGCCGTGGGTGGACAACTCGTCCGCGCAACATATTCTGTTCCGTTCATCTTGCCTTGGCATCAGGCCAACGAAGCTACCCACTCTTTTTTTAGATCTTTGGGACTCAGCGAGATTTTGAGGGCCCAAATTATCACATCGATCAATTGCTGAAGTCTAGCAGCTGTGTGATACGGACGAGTTGTCCTGGATACTGTGCGCTCTAATGCCAATGGGATCGCGCCATATGACCGCCTCCCCATTCTGACGCGTCAGAACTATGTCATTCATTTTTATGTGCTTGCGCTCCTTCTTCTCGAGTTTTTTGTATTCATTCTATAGATAATACATTAGCATAACTATAAACCACATGGCAGCCAGAGTGGTCAAATATCCCTTGATTTAGCAAAGATTTTCTGAACGCACAAAACTTTCATTTCAATTCTTTCCTAGTATTCCTTTCACTGTCGTGAACATTCATATGAAAGATTGTAGAAGCAGTTAATACAAAACTCTGTGAGTTTCAAGATATTTGTATTTGATGGAAGAACTTAGGTATAAATGCTTTTAACTTCATTCGCAGCGAAAGTGTTTTTTTGCTTCTTCGTGGTCATTATGCGTTCTTCTAAACAAAAATCTACTGCTATTTATATAGTTAACCTTTATGCTTTCATCCTTGCCGAAATAATTCTAAGATTCAAGTTGTTGTGCATTTTAAACAAAAAATAAGCGGAAGTAAGGTGAGGACGGCGCGCTCGCAAAATCGCTCCTGTCCCACGCGGTGCAAAATGCCAAAACACGCGATGTCGTCAAATTCTTAGTTTAAAATGTTCGCCAGAACGGTTTTTCGTGCTTTTCTTTTTTTTGCCAAAAAATTAATGGTGACCTCGAAAATTTTTCTTTTGAATATCCTGATTCTTTAAGACTTGAGGATATAAAAACACTAGAAAACATAGTATATCAATCTTTGGAGGACGTTGCTCAAGCGAGAAAAAATAATGCACGAAAATCGTTTCGGCGAACACTTTTGACCGCTACTGTATAACCAAGAGCGGATGATATGTTGTTCTATACTAAACAATACAATGTACTTACAAACTAAACAACATAACTAAACAACACAGAAAAGAAGAGACCGAGCTGTGCTGACGTACGACGACGGACTTTTCTTCAAATGATAATAATCACTGATAATCACTGATAATGTAATAGATAGTTTCGACGATCCACCCATCCTTGCCTGAGTATCTTCTGACCAAGAAAAAACTCAAAAATTCCCAAAGATCTATTAGCGAGAGTCACGACCTCTCTCAGCCGAGTTCACTAAAAGGCAAGCAGCGACTTCAGCAAAATATTCCAAATATGCAAATGAGGGACACAGTAGAGATGCCAGAAATACTATGCAGTGACAACGTCAGATGGAATGCTTTTCCCCTTCGGCTAACTAAATTCAAGAATTGATGTAAGCTCTGTCGGAGAGGATGGGAAGAATAACTG